ACATAATATAATCATTACCATCCCTTTTAAATAAAAATTTTAAGTAAATTTTAAATAAGATGCTTCTGATAGCACCATGTAGATGTTCCAGCTTTCACTTCTGCAGTTAACCATCTGTAGATATTTAACTCTAGCTCCTACTGAGTTCCAGTTCATGAAAAAAATCTGTGTGCATATATATATAAAGTCTCCTGCAAGGGACTATATATATATGACTTACATATATATATATATATGTATAAAGTTTCCTACAAGCCCCTGAGCTGTGTGTTTTGTGAATCATAGGACAAAGTGATATGTCTGCCCCATATGTGAAAAGAACATCTGGCTTAAAAATACAAAATAAGTTTATCTCTAACAAGGGTTATGCATCTGTGTCTCTATTGGTAGCTAAGACCAAATGTTAGTGCCACTGTTATTCTTTTATGCTCTGGGTCCTATAAACATTAGGTTTATTTGTATGGGAAAGAAAAGAATCTAGCTTACGTTGCATTGCTCAATCAGCTTCTCAAAATGAACTTCATTTGTGATCTCAGTGAGTCATTATGGCATAATTATAGTTCTAGTATGATATGCTATTTGTTGAAAAATGTTGATTTTTTTGTGGAACAGGAAAACTACAGTTCAAAAACTGTGATCAGTCAAATCAATGCCATGATTAACTGATATTAACGGATGCCCTGAAGATTTAAAATGCTTGCTCTCTATTTCAAGAAAGCAGCCGAGAAGAAAATGCCTAGCAGGGGTTAAACCCAAATGCCTGCGCTGCAGCCTATTTCTGTCAACACTCTGTTCGGGAAATAAACATTTATGCTTTCTGAAATGAAAGTGTATTTTTGAAGACTAGCCGTCAGATATTTTTTGCCCTTCACACTTTCAAACGCTTAGCCTTTTTTGTAAGTTGACTGCAAAGTGCATCAGTTTGCCAGGCTAAAAAAAAAAAAAAAAAGTGCTTGACGAGTGCCCATGGCACCACTGTCAACCTCCGAAGTTTCCAGTAGAAGAAGGCAAGACGGTTGGCACAAAACATGCTTTCTTCAAGCCTATTACCTCAGGGGTACCTGCCTCTTGAGAAGCTTTTCAATCCTTCCAAATGATGTTATTCCCAACTGTCATCTGGTTTATTTGGAGCACACTGTATTGCAGATAAACATGCTATTTAACTGCTGGTCAAGGTAGAGAGTCATTCTGCAAGCAAAATGCCTGAGATACATTAAATGGCACTGACTCTGGGACAGAGATGAAGAGAGATCCGAGTTGTCAGTGATATGCACGGAATGGGCTGTAGCTGGGGAAGAAAAAATGTGCCATGGTATCAGTGTATTTTAAAAAGCTGTAATACGGCTGAACATTTAAAACTATAACCTGTCACACACCAAAGATTAAGGTCCCAGGATGTACAAAACATGAAGTTCAAACGACACAATTACGAAGCATATTTTATTTCACTTGGTAAAGAGATTTCTCTCCAAAGATAGCTAAATATTACAGATGATGAAGACCTCTAACTCATAGCCCAAGAGCTATAAAATACTGTTCAATGCCTGTTAAAAACACAAACAAGTAATTATCATTTGGATACAAGCATGTGTAAGCCAATAGAGCAATTATGTTTTAAGAAAATTCCTTCAACTCAGTTTATTAAAACATGCATTTTCATTTAGGCCTCGGTTATTTAGAATTTTAGACATTGCTCAGGTCTATTGATAAAAATGTTATTTTATCCATGCGTTTTTATGTATGTGCAACATAACTAATACTCCTAAAGAAAAGGCAAAATAATTTTATGTAATTAAGATAAAATTTCTATTATGTATTTGGCCTCCTTAGTGACCAGATGAACATGACTATCTCGTAACAAGGCTGTCTAACTGCTGCTCAGGCATTTGGGCAGGAGAGCTCTTTGTACTAGATTCCAGACTGCAGTGGTGTGACAGGAAAGGGTTAAAATGAGAGCCAGCAATTTCTAGACCAAGAAAAGATAGACGTTCAGACTTTTATTTTATTTTGTAAGCATAGATTGTCCTTTTTCCTTTGGATTTGCAAAAATTATACTTCCTTTAATCAGCTGAAATATACTTAAGGATATCAATCAAGCAAACGTGTCAAACCTTTTGTGCCATATCCATCTCCTCATGCTCCCTGACCAAAAAAAAAAAAAAAAAGGGGAAGAGCTTTTTGTTCCCCTTTTTTCCTTCTCTTTATTTTGTAGAGAAGCAAAAGGAAAAAGTTAGGGTTGCAAGAAGGATACACACACACACATGCACACACGTACGCACACACAACCATCAATATAGAAGAAATAAATTGCAGGATCAACTTTAAAAATGAAATTTTATTGTTTTTTGGTTAATTAAACCCCAAAGAAATGTGTGAAATGTTGTTATGGCTGGAACATTGTTAATTGTAAATCACAGGGACAAAGGGGGCCCGGTGCAACTTTAAAGTTTCCGTGCACGTAAATGTCGATAGCGTGCCTTCTCCATCATCAGCACTAAATTCACATTGATGCCTCTTTTCTTCTCCGTATTGATCCTTCCATGAGAACGTAGATTTGTATCTGTTAATTAATGCGTCCTGAAACAGCGTTTGTATTAATCAGGCAGATAAGAAAAATTGGATGCCTGCACCCCCCTGACAACCGTAAAAGTGCTGGCCCTGATAAAATCGTGGATGGACCTCAATAAAAAAGTTCCTCCTTCCACTCAATAAACTAATCATCCTGCTTTTAATTATTCGGCAGAAAGATGTGTGGAGATTGGAGAATGTGTAAATCTATTTACTAACAGCAGTGTCTGGGAGGGAGAATAGGGCTGTCACAGGAAGGTGCTGCGGGCTACATGCTCTGTCCATCTGCTGCTGCAGAAAAACTGCGGCTTGGGAGCATGAAAAGGAACAAGAAAACTAAGGCAAATTGAAAAGACCCATTCATTTTTGCTCATAACTTTCCAGATGATGTTTTTTGTCTTTTAATTTACACAAGAAATTTTTACTTAGTATGTTTTCTTGAGGTCGATATTTGGATTTGCATTGCATCTTTTTTCCTTGGAGGGGGATAGAAAAAAGAGCAATGTGGTTTTCTGTTTGTTTGTTGTGAATATAACATTGCTGAAATTAAAAGCATCTGGAGCCTAACCTATTTAGGTTAAACAATTAGTTTTCTCTGTTGAATCGCTGTTTAAAATGTTATCAGCTTTTATATCTCTAAGAGGATATTTATTAATTTAACCCCAAACGCAATGACAAAAACAGAATAAGAAAAAGACTTACACAGCCAGTCCAAAATAAATCCTGTCAAATAACATGTAAGCACCATGATAAACAATGAAAGAAATGCATTTTTATATATACCTTAAAGACTCCCTTAAGAAAAGCTTGACTCCTCCCTTCTGATGATTTTATTAAGCACTTATAATTAATGGTACCAAATGGCAAACCACTATTTTTCACCAATAGGTCAGGAAATCATTTCCTTTTCTTTACTGTGCTGTAGTTTCTAATATCATATGGGATATGCACAATTTGATATGAATGAAAAGGACAGCAACAGTGACCATAAGCAGTAGCCTAAAAAGGTTGGTCACCAGTGGCTATTTATGATTTGGATAATAATGTCTAGAAAGGGAGTAAAAATAGATTTCTTAAGTTGCATTATTAAAAACGGCCCTTCCTTTCTGTAGAATTACTGGTGGCAGGACCTTAAATGATGGTACCCCTGTCCTCAGAAGCCATGAGGTGGGTGGTTACCCTTAGAAGTCTTAGGCAGACACTTGGAAATAAAAGTGAAGTTTTAAGAAACATTTCTTTTTTAGGACTTGGGAAAAGCTTCTGATCATCAAGTATCTTCACTTTAGAATACAGATCTAATTCCTCTGATATATAAATATATATCTTCACTCCTAAGTAGGCTTAATTGTACTGCTTCCTCTTTCTCTATGGAACAGCATTTTCTTTTTAATTATTTTGCATATGTTTTCTCAAGCTCAGAGGGACTTTAAATATGCATGTATGAATGCATCCCAGATTTGCAGAAAAGAATTGATCACATAGGTAATTCAGATAAAAATAACATATATTAATCATACAGCAACACTTACTGAATTGCAGATTATAACCTAATGTTTAGGTAGGTGATATTTTATATTTCTCAAATACAAAATTTAAGATACAAGTTAATTTCTCTTGCTCAAGGTGAAAGAGCCAGTAGCTGAGTGGAGCCAGTATTTACATTCAGAATCTGACTCCTTTGCACCAAACCCTGTTACCTTTATTTATATTTAACTTTTTAAATAATTGGATCTTAGTAATAATAGTGAATGGGGCTTTTCTATTTGGTGAGGAGGCCAGGCTGCTAAGTATTCCACTTTCTTTTATACCAATTATCACTAATTTTAAAAGAAATTCATGTTAAGTATCAGTGAGGGGAAATAGCCAATTAAGAAGGCTCACCTAGTTGTAACTCATCATCCATTGTGCTTGTAACTATTAATATTATACAGAAATGTTTCCAAGTTGTGCTATGGCCTAAATTGTTTGTTTATCTTTTATTTTTAGCTGCTACTTCTCCTTCTCTCCTTCTCCTTCTTCTTCTTTTTTTTTTTTTTTTTACTTTTATGTTGTTTTCCAATAGTAGTTTTTAGAGATCAGATAGTTGAAAATCTGACTTCTTATAAGAGGTTCCTAAAGACTTCAACTAGAAATCAAATATATTTAAAGATTACATGGTATTTTCTTCTTGAATGAAAGAAAACAACATCTCTATAATATTCCCCTAAGCTGTGTCTATAAAACTTATAGAAAATACCCCCAAATTGAAGAAGCTGGTTTGTAACTTTCACTTTGCTGTTCGCAAAGTGATCCAGGGGAAATTTTAAGAGCTTCTAATCAAAGCTCAGCATAATTTTGAGCACTGATGCAGAAGCCAGCTACCATATGAAACTAATGTTGCATTATGAAATTATGGCTTTAAAGTAACTTGATCTGCCCATCTTTCCATGCAGGCTTCTCCACGCTGTCCCTGGCGGACCAGATGAGCCTTCTGCAGAGTGCTTGGATGGAAATTTTGATCCTTGGTGTCGTATACCGGTCTCTTTCGTTTGAGGATGAACTTGTCTATGCAGACGATTATATAATGGACGAAGACCAGTCCAAATTAGCAGGCCTTCTTGATCTAAATAATGCTATCCTGCAGCTGGTAAAGAAATACAAGAGCATGAAGCTGGAGAAAGAAGAATTTGTCACCCTCAAAGCTATAGCTCTTGCTAATTCAGGTTGGCATACTGACATAGTCATTGTTACATTTTTTAATATGTCAGTTTTACCACTCTCCTAAACTTCTTCAGGGGTTTGCAAGACCTAGTTTGTAAGTTTTGTATGAGTCAGCAAAATTATAATCAGTATAGCTTTCTAGTGAAAAGTTAGAAATAAGAAAAATATACTTAAAGGGAATTAATTTCATTTGACTTGCTTATTGAATGCTTTGAAACTTTTATCAGCTAATGCATTTACTAATTTGGATTGCAGCAAAGCAAAAGCTCTTGTAGGAATAGCATAAATGGACACTCCCGGGACAAAATTAGTTCCATTGTCTTTTATGCATAAGTTAAAACAAGGGAATTGTTGAAACACACAAACCATTTTTCCCTCAAAAATGCAAATTGTGCAATTGAGAAAATATATTTAGTGTTTCTTTGAGTTTTGGTTATCAAACAACACTGTTTTCTTACATTCTGGAGTTCTTTAGAAGTCAAATTCTGTCTATGCAGTAAGGGTTAAGAATTATGGGAATAACTGTTCTTTACATTTGAACCGTAACGTGCTAAAACAGAGAACAACTTCTAATAAGTAAAAATCGTTGGTGCTTTGTTGTTTTTCCCTTTGTGCCTCTCTTAATGCTTTATTATGGTCTTAAGTCTCTTTTAGCATTTGCATAAAGTTCAGGATAGATCCCTCGTTAATGACGTGCCGATCATTAGATACCTGTGTGTCAATAACATGCTCTGATGCTATGTACCATTGACAGTCACACCGTGCCCCTCCATCTGCTTTTGTTTTGACCCTATCTTTGAACTTTATCTTGGTTGCCGGCCAGTAGTTTTCCCTTTAATTACAAGAAGGAAACTGTCAATAAAATCTGTTAAATGGGATGCAATGAGTGGCTTGAATGGGCGGACGGCTATTTGTTCAAATTCTGCAGCATTCAAGGTATTGACAGTTTGTTTTCTGGGGCCATATGTGACGATCAATCTCAGGCTGGGCTCAGCCGCGCTGAAAAATGAAAAACCAGATTGCTTTTGCTTACTTGTGGATGACGACTTTGTGATTTGGCGCGGTCCTAGTGAGATGAGACCTTCTGCCCAAATTGCCCCCATGAGAGCCAGGGACGCGTGACTGTTTTTAGAAATAATTTTTAATTGATTTTGTAATTAACAGTTCATCTACAATATTGATGCATGAATCCTTGGACTGATAGGAGGGAAATTATTTTCAACAATGAAGTTGTACTTTCCTATTTGTCTTCATAATGGAGTTTAGCATTTCACAGTTTTAATTGTGAATATAACGCTCTTCCTCACCACACCATGTGCCTCTCTTCTACTACTCTCCTGTGAAATTATAAAATATGATTTCTTATGACAAACGACGTTGTGATTATGAACCCTGAAGAATCCCCTGCCCTTCCTCTCCAGAAGATCAAAGTGAGAGATGGGGTAGAAATTTTCTGAGGATTTATTAGTTTGTATGGACTTCACATTATACCATCTCTCATAATTAGATGAAATATTTTACAACAGTGGTTTTGGGAAAAATTTTTATTTGGCAATCATGAAACAATTCTAATTTAAAACATTTACTTGGTTAATTGTTTTTAAAATATACTAAGCCTGTGTTATCTCTTTTATGGTTCAAATTGCTTTTTAAAATTATTAACTAACCATGAATGCTGAGCAATGCTAAAATTTTATCAACAAAATTGCTAAAATTATATAATTTTAGATATTGGATGTATACTTTATGACAAAGTATTATAATTTAGAGTACCTGAATTAGTAGCAGCATTTCTGTCTCTGTTGCTTAGAAGTATAAACATTAATATTTCGGATAGATAAATGTCCTAATCCACATATTCTACTTCTGGGAGAGGAAGTGACTACCTCACAGCAGTGACTGATGATTAGAAAATGTTTAAAGAATTAGTTCATTTATTTTTCATGTCTAAAGTCAGAAATGGTCAATAAGCTCCCCTTTCTTCTCTTATCATGGTAGTTGAGTACCATTGCTTCTTCTAAAAAAAAGTCTCTGTCCCAAAATATTCTTGCAGGTGATTCCATCTTTCATTTAGTCCCTCAATACCAAGAAAGATCAATTGAATCAGAGTCCATATTAAAGAATAACTGATTAAGTACTCTAAGGACTATTTTAATCTGTAAATTGTGCCACCTCTACTGTGTTGTGTAACTGTGGCCTTTTCTTCACCCACCTAACCTGCAAGCCCCATCATTTTAGTTTGGGGTAAACAACTCAGAAAGTCAGTTTCTTTGATACTGTTAATATGAGGTTATTTTATTCCATTTTTGACTGTTATTTGGAGCACAGCAATGAAGTTGTAGATCCAAGATGGAGTGTAGACTCAAACTTGCTTAGATCCAATGTAGGTTTCTTAAACTGCCCATGCACATATCATTATAAAAATATTTTAATACTTTAGATACCCTAAAGGGCTTCTATTTTTGTTGTTGCTGTTGTTGTCGTTTCTGTGTGTGTGTGTGTGTGTGTGTGTGTGTGTGTGTGTGTGTGTGAGTGCGCATGCGCACGCGCATGCCTGTGTGTTTAGGAATTCCAGATTAATATAAGTAACTTTTTGTGCAAAAATGAAAATCTATTTCAGTGTAATTTAAGTAGATATCTTAGCTTTTCCTGCATGGATGTAGGTGTTAACAACCATTGTCTTGTTTATTTAAATTTTAGCTTACTTTAAATATCGATTTTTATTCAATAGCTATAAATGTTGTGCTTATGCTTGGAAAACAGGCTTCCTGATGATGTCTACCATATTTTTTGTAGCTTTGTTTCTGTCATAAGTGAATTCAGAAATACTTATAACACCAGAACATCCCTGGAAACTCTTATCTTCATCTGTATGGCCAAAACAACAATATGTCATCAACTGTTATAATTCTACAGTTTTCACATTCAAATCTTTGAAAACGCTAAATAATAGTTTCAATTACTTTTGAAGATAAGAAACTTACAGTCTCATTTAAGCTATACATTATCTTATTTTTGAGTATTAACAACCTCTTGAGTAATTATTGCATCCCTGATATATCTATGTGCAATTGAATTTTAAAAGAAAACTCTAGGTCACAATTTTAATATTGTAATTCTTAGGCCCCAGTTTTTTCATGTATGTAACAAGAGGTTTGACTAATATCAAATTCTTTCCAACTCTGGAATTCTATGATTCTATAATTAATTTCATCTCTGTATTAGAAAATATAGTAAAATATTTCTATAAGCACCTCGGTAAGATTATATGATGGGATTTATTTCTCTTCATTGGATCTTTTGATTCTTATGTTAAGAATTTGTTTGAAATTATATACTGTAAGGTGAAAAGCAGTTTAAGCTAATGAATCACTTTAGTCTGACCGTTCTCTGTTGCTCAAGTCATAAGCCCTTCAATCCCTAAATCTGCCACTCACATCCCAGTCTTTGTCACCCCTGCCCCGCCCCAGCCTGAAGCCAGGTGAGCCTAATCCATTCAAGAATAAACATGTTTCAAGTCGAGTTTTCTTTTTAACTTCTACACATTGTTTCCAGAATAATAGCACCTATTGATATCAAGCTACAAATAATGATTTGGTTATCAATTTAAAATCATAAATAGCTAGAATGACCTCATGACAGCATTCTGTTGTTCTTAAGGACAATTGGTTATGTATGCAGAGTTGTATAATTTCAAGGTATAGAAAGTTTATTATTGCTGTAGGATACTGGAATGGGCGCCATATTTAATTAGGGTATTTGGACCCTCATATAGGTTTGGCTTAGTGTGTTTTCATTACCACTCCATTAGGGGAGCCTTTTTAGGTATGGTTTTCCTAGTAGCCCCCCGATTAAATAGTAATACCTTCTGTTTAGGATATATATATACACACACACATATATATACACATATGTATACACACATCCATGCATATATAGCATGCATATCATATTGTATTATATATACACATTTTACCTAAAAAGAGGAACGTTTTCTACTCTCTAATTCCAAATTTCACCTCCTTTGATAATATGTCGCTTAAATACATAACTGTTTTCTCATCTGTAAAAGAAGGCAGGTGAATTAAGTAATGTCTACTATCCCTTAAATGGCCTACAAATTTTAGATTTATTACTTTTAAGTAAAGGTGGCCAGTTTGGTTTTATACATGTATATATATATATAGGTGCATGTGTGTGTGAATGTTGTGTGTGTGTGGGCAGCGGGGAGGGGGGGGGTTATGTGTGTAAAGTAAAACTAGGCCTTAGTCAATTTTACAAAATTTTGGCTAAATTAGTTGATTTGATATTCTGGAGATAGTTTTAGCTGCTGGTCAAGAGAATATCCTTTTTCAGAATCTTTCTGTAGACATTTCCTTTTTTAAGCTTCTTCTAGGGAATCTTATTTGATTTCCACAACATACCTGTGCAGTAGACATGTCTAATATCATTTTACAAGTATGTGAAGAAAGCTGATAATCGTGCATGGCTATTATGAGGCAGAAGGTGGGACCTTCTGTCCTTTGTTATCAACAAGCTATTTCTATTCCACAAATAATTATATACATGTTTTTAAAAGGATTAATGCAGAAGACTTTACCCATTATAATTTCACATCTGGGAGCCCAAGTTAGTAGTTTTAATTTGATTGATAATGTCATGCCCACTTCCTTTATCTTGCCATCTTCTAGGAGTTAGAAGACTGTAAAACTACCCAAGAAAGTAACAAACAAGATTGGACATGAAATGCTTACCAAGAAATTATAACGTTTTATGAGAAATGAATATATGTAAGCTTTGTGTGGCAGGTAGAACTTTGTTCTTGATTTTTACCCAGAACAAACCATAAGTAATACTATCAGGTAAATAAGAAATCAAAATTATAACCTTCCATCTCCTAGTTTACTTTTCATTGGTTTTTACTCAAGTCTGTCTTCACTGAATTATTTTAATTCTATTTAGAACAATATATTTTGGAAGTGAGCTTTTTAAATTTAATACA